TTGTCCTCGAGGACGAAGAAACTCGGAGATGTTTGGAAAAACATCTCCCGATTCTTCGCCTCGAGGGCCAAGAGACGCCAGGCCTAAGTGCGTGGCTCTCCCGTGGCGGTCGCCACAGAAATAATTCTCTGGCGAGAATTGGATTCCACGGGTGTTAATGGAATTCAACTTGTGAAGGATACATATAAAGTGTCAGATATTAGGTATTTACCGAAAAAACTCAAACCGAATTTCTTGTAATAATTCACAAATCTAACGCACAAGGTTGGTGTCAGTGGTTTTATCTATTTAGTTTGTCGCTGAAATCCACTCCAAAATCGTAAAAGTTCAACTAGCACTTGTCAATAGGAAGGATGTTCTTCTTTCGCTGCATGGCCTCGCGTTGCTTCTCTGACTCGTTAAAAAATAAGCGATCTCGGATAGGAAGGTTTACCGTATCTTTCTTATAATCCAGGCCTGTCTTCTTCTGACTATCGCTTACTTCTGTCTATGTCAAGCTTTTTTGCAAATAGGGTAAGTTGCATAATGTGAGACCCATTTCTTGAAAAAGTCATAACTCTCGATAGAGAACACTTTTATTAAAATTTGATACACGTTTTAAAAGTAAGATATGTATTCTTCTGTAACGTACTGGAAAGTAGAGTAAAAAAATTTGGTTCCTTCATAATAAAATAAATTTTAATTTGTTTGTTCCTGAAACTTATTTTTTCTGCCTTTTTTCACACATTGGGCATATCAAATCTATTTCTTCAGTCTTCGTCAACTTCTTTATCAACAATTTACACACTGAAACAAAATTTGGTATCTATAATTAACGCGAGACCCTTCTTGTAATAAGAATTTCCAACGGTCTCATATTCAGAAACAATAACATGATAATTATTAAGTAGCTTCGAGGTTACGTGTTCATTATTTAACGATACACAATTAGTGAGCCTTAAACTTCATTGCATACACTGTACAAAACTATGTTCATGAAAATGATTATACACTTACCATTGTCGAGATAATTTGTAATTTAATCGAACCACTTGAAAGACTTTCTGTAACGTATTTGACGAATATGCTTGCTCAAGACGCTTAATTGATTTTAATAAAATTTGGTATTTAACTTGATAATTAACGCGGTTTATTACAAAATGAAATAGCATCGTTACGACATTCAACAGTTCTGTAACGGAGATAAGCTGGGGTCTCGTATTAGGCAACTTTACCCTAAGCTCTTTAAAAATGATGTCGAGGTAAAAACAGCAGTTTTTTCATTTGTCGCAAGTAAAACTCAATATTTTTATATTAACGGTATGTATAAAATTGTAGAGTGTTGGAAATGAGTTATAGAAACAAGTGGTGATTGCTTTGTTAAATAAAATTGTTTCCAGAAAGTTCAGATTATTTTTATTTTATACTATAAATTCGCATGAACATTTTCCAGAACCTGGTAGTTTAAAGAATAACAAGGACACATTCAGTGGTGTATAGTTTAATTCCATTTCCTATGATGGACAAATGGTGTCTTAATTTGCTAGGACTTCGTCAATTTGGGAAGTCAATTCGACGATTTAATGAAAAACTTACTTTGAGAGTTTGAGCAATGCACAAAGAATGAATGACCTTTTGAAACCGTATAGCACGATATAAATTTCTTTTTAAAGATTCATTAATTGAATATTAACATGTTACGAAAGTGACAACATGTTAAATTGTACAGAATTTTTCTCTTTAATTCGACTTTAAGGCAAAGAATATTCTTATTCGTTTAAGAAGAATTTTCTTTCTTTAGAAGTCGAATAGGGGAACGAATTCCTTAAAATATTTATTCAAATATTGGATGATTGCAAAAGTTCGTGCCCGATTTGAAAATAAAACACAAGCGGCGTGTATAAAGGCACATTTCATTTGAAAATAAACTGAAATGAAATGAACAATTATTTGAAAATAGAACACAAACGGTGTATCTTTCGATAGGAATGTAACACGACGTTAAAACAAACATCTTTGCTGAAGTGTGATAAGGTTCGCGCCACTTCTGCAATCATCCAATAATTCTGTTACAATTTCTTTGCTCAATTGAAATAATGACCGCCACCTTGAATGATCTTTTTCCACTTCTCTAGCAAGAGTTGAATTCCACAGTGGAAAAATGCAGGTTGCTTATACGCTAAGTAGTTATCGACCAAATTTCTCTCTTTATTAAGATTTTTGAAGTGCTGTTCTTTTACAGTGTATTGCGTCGAACGAAACAGGTGTTACTTCGAAGGTGCAGCGTCTGGAAAGTATTTAGGCAGGGTGAGGAAGAGCTTCCCATATTAAGAGGGTATTCTAGTCTAGACTATTCAAAAAATCGACTTCTTTTTAGGATTTTCTGAAAATTCTGGTTTTCCAAATTATGTCTGTGAAAGGATTTGCCCGAATAAAGAACACTGTACGTACAAACAACTCGTGCAATTAGTGATAAAATTTCAGAAATAATTAAACCGGTCTACGAAGATTCTTCCGCAGGCAAAGTAATGAAGGGATAATGAGAGAAGCGGAAACACAAAACAGTAAATAACGTTCCTGGACTGACAGATTAGTCGAGAGTACAACCATGTTCATTTAACTGGTACGAAAAACTTGAAACCGTGTTTTCTGAACTGGCTAACATGATATCTTAAGTTCTAGGTTGACTGACTGACTCCAAATTTTGCAAGCACGTTCAGTAGATGTGTCTTTATCGCAGGAACCACGGAAACTAACAGGTTCCTATTTTTCCTATACTTACAGCCCACAAAACACGAAGAACGGTGGAAAAAATCGGCATTCAAACTTCAAAGTGCCCCATTTTTTTAATTTTCAATATTCTTTTTATTCTGGTTTCGACTATAACCACATTCATTTTAATCAAGAATCTTTTTGGTATTTTCGTTTCGGATAAGTAGAATGACCCGAATCATGTCAGTCAGTAGGACACTTCCTTTTATAATTCAGTTAATTTTGATTACTTTCACTTAAAAAAAATAGTGAATATTCTTAAAGCATGATTTGATATGTGCAAAAAAAGTCGATACTAAAAAGTCTTATGGTTTCTGTGTAAAAAAATCTCAAAAAGGACTTAAAAAATATTACACTCTACCTGCTTAACTTCGATATGGTTTTGACGGTGAAGCTTAACGGCGACGGATTCTTTGTCTCTCAAGTCGAAATCGCCATTTTTGAACCGTTGAAACCATCTCTCTCATGTGTCTGCAGATGCAACACCACTACCATAGACTTCTCAAATCAATGCTGCCGTTTCCTTCAAATTAAAGAAGAGCAAAGTAAAACGACGGATATGCTCCTTCTCAAATTTTATTTTAAATCATAATAAATGATTTTAGTTACAGAATTGAACTTGTCTACATATTTTGTTACAGCAGAATAGCTGCAACTTTTGAGATATACAGAGAAATCGGTGTGAAATATAAACTCAATATATTCTACCACCATCTACGAGCGATCCACAGAACATAGTTAACGATCTAATATAAATCACGAATTAAATATACAATGCACGAATTGACAGCCACAATGAAAGTGTAAGAAACATTCTCACTGCTTCTCGTTTCCTTGTGAAAAGAAAAAGAAAAACGCTTCTCTGCCTCCTGCCAGAAATCTTCTACACTTTTTAACGGAAGAAGAAGCGTCAGAATTAATTTTACCAAAGGCTTTTTGTCAATCTTTTGTAAAGAAAAGAAAACATAGAATATGTGCATCTAATTTCGCCTACCAATATTCACGTCGTCCTCAATAGAAGAGTACTTTATACTTTTGTATCTAATTAGTCGAAGAATGAAAAAGAAATTTACGAAAATTCCAATAAAATTCACGCTTTATGACTACTTATTAAGTCATTTTGGATGGAAAAATAGGCTATTGCATTTTTTATTAAAAATGAATATCGGTAGTAATTAGACGTTGCACAGCAATTATACACAAAGAAAGGTTAATTTGTATACTTTGAAACGATTAAAACACACTTGAATCACCTAAGCAGTGGAAAGCAGGTCATTTGAATTGCTTAAGCCGCGTGCAGCTAAAATAATTATGGGTTTTACATACACGCGAGTCGTTGCTTTTCACCGATCGGAATGTCAGGACCCCTTTCGCAACGTAAAAGGAAGTGTTGCTAACATAAGTCGCGCGCAGTGGACGCATTATTCTCCAAGCGTTTTCGTATTGCAGTTAGCAAAATTGTCAATTAATCACCTGAAACGTTTTAATCAAATACAATTATTGCTTTAAATTCCCAATTAATCGCAATTTACTAATTAATATATTTTGGTGACGCAGACATTTCCTCATTGCTAATTATACTATTTCTCAAAATAAAGTCTAAAGCAGTTTCAACTGAAAAACCGTTGCAACAAAAATAAAACAAAACATTTAAGAATACAACATTCTACACTGATTAAAGATATCATAGGATAATTGTGCCACTAATTGTATGAACAGCTTAAATCGTATGTTTTTCAATTCGAGATATTTAGGCTTTTTGATATTTTTACTGGAAATTAAATCAAAATAAGAAACAAAACTTCTCCAAATCACTAACTCAAAAACTCCCTCAAAAGTAAACAAACCTTATTGAAAAAAAAGTACTACCAACTACCAACAATTTAATGTCCTACTATTTTACAGAAATGGTTGCACGTTATTATAATTTAAATAAATACAACACAAAATATTGTGTCCTATCCAAGAAAAGGAAACGAAAAGAAATTCCTTGGACCGCGTTGTTTAATGTTTATAATTTATTCGTAAACATGCTTGTTTCACGATGACTTCGGTGCTTGATCGATCGATCTTTCAAACGCTGAACAAACAATGCCCGTTCTGCAAATTCATTCAATCAAGG